GCAGCTGTGGTACAGCACCCAACACTGTGAACGCGACCGAAGGGTGGAAGGGGCTGCAACCTCATTCTACAACTACGCACCACCTAACAACCCTCGGTGCTGATTGCGCGACACTGACCGATTCCGATTCCTCTCGAATATGCGACAACGTAACTCACGAGTATAGCGGTAGCCATGTCATCGGCGAAGGATCTCGTCGAGTTTCCCGATGTGGAGGCGAAGCTCCAAAAGCCCTCGAAGCAATCCGCCTTCGAGAAACAGAGAGCCGAGGCAGAGGCAAAGAAAGCCCGCGAGGCTGCCGAGACAGCCGCAGTATACCAAGATTTCGTCAAGAGCTTCGATCACGACGATGAGGATAACGCGAGCACCGGCCGCTTCGGCTCCATGTCCTCACAAAGACACCCTCCGAAGGCCCCTGGCTTTGGCGGCGCGCCCCTAGGCGCGACTGCAGCATCCAGAAGGCACTTTGGCGCATCCGCCCTCAAGAGCGGTCCGGGAAGTCTGGGTCCTGTTGCCAGCTTCAAGAGCGGCCCAGGGAGCTTGGGGCCTCCGCCAGCGTCTTTGGGAAGGAAGAGGGGGTTTGACGCATTCCGACAGGAGAAGGACAGAGACGGCAGGCTTGGATTCGAAGAACGCGAGGAGCCCATGTCAGTTGCAAAGGTTTTCAATAACAGCGACGACGAGGACGAAGCGAACCCCGACTCGAGGGCGGAGGAGATGGCAGTTGCCAGGCCGACCTTGCGCCTATCCCAGCTGCCGCCAGGGACCTCACCCGCGTTCATCAAGTCGCTGATTCCAACCAACCTGACGGTCGATAACGTCAAGATCCTGCCCCCCGTGGGACCCTCTGGTACGGAGAGAAAATGCGCCGTGGCCATTGTCACATTGTCGCAGGACACTCCAGCAACGGACATTGACGCAGCAGTCAGCTCGCTTCAGAACCGCTACCTTGGCTACGGTTTCAACCTTTCACTACACCGTCATCTCTCCTCGACCGTAGCGACGGCCACGGCATCTACGCTCGGCAGTACATCTGCCGGATCCCACCCTTTTGGCGCCAAACCTGTTTCGCAGCAGACGACACCGGGCAACGCAACGACGCAACATGCTTTCCACCGAGGCTTTGCACCGCCGACCTCTTATGCGCCAAACATGGGAGGACCTATCAACCGAAGCAGCATTCTCCATGTCCCAGTCAAACCGCCAAACGACGTCAAGATGGTCCAACTAATCAACAAGACCATCGAGTCCGTCCTTGAGCATGGCGTGGAGTTCGAGGCGCTGCTGATGAGCCGTCCCGAGGTGCAGCGCGAAGAGAAGTGGGCTTGGATTTGGGATGCCCGTAGCGAAGGGGGTATTTGGTACCGTTGGCGACTGTGGGAGATTGTCACAGGTGCATCTTCTCGCAGTAACAAGGGGAGGTATCTGCCGCTATTCGACGGAAGTCACGCTTGGAAAGCTCCAGAAAAAGGCCTACCGTACGAGTTCGTTACCAATGTCGACGAGTTCGTGTCCGACTTGGACTACAACTCTTCAGACGACGAAGACTTTGACGGGGACAACCGCGAGAACCAGAACCAAGGCCCCGAGGCAGAGGCCACTTTCTTGAACCCTCTCGACAAAGCCAAACTAACCCACCTCTTGTCCCGCCTGCCCACTACCTTATCCAAGATCCGAAAGGGGGATATTGCTCGAGTTACAGCGTTTGCTCTTACACATGCGAGCCGAGGAGCCGAAGAGGTTGTCGATATGATTGTGTCGAATGTCGAGAGGCCATTCGCGCTAACGGCGGCCAACCCGGACTTTCATTCCAGCATCAAAGACAAGGGGAAGCAAGGGGACGGGTCCGAACTACCTGCGCCCGAACCAGAAGAGAAAACCGACAAGGAGGGCCCCGATACCAGCGGCGCCAGCCTTGTGGGCCTGTACGTTGTCAGCGACGTACTGTCCGCCTCTTCCAGTAGCGGCATACAGCGCGCTTGGCGATATCGACAGGTCTTCGAAGGTGTGCTCAAAGAGCGCAGGATCTTCGAGCATCTTGGCCTGATGGCGGAGAGACTGAACTGGGGCCGGATGCGGGCCGAAAAGTGGAAGCGGAGCGTTGGTCTCGTTCTCGGCCTCTGGGAGGGCTGGTGTGTGTTCCCGACGGAGAGTCAGGAGCTGTTCGCCAGCAGTTTCGACAACCCGCCATCTTTGAAGACACAAGAGCAAATAGAAGATGACGCAGCGAAGAAGGGCAGGTGGAAGCCAGTCGAGACCTCAACGCCAAGCGCCGATGTTGCCACCACCAAGACTGACCAAACGGCACCGGAGCCGACATTGGCTGACAAAGATGATGATGTTGAAGGCGAACCAATGGACGAAGAAGACGTTGCTGGTGAACCCATGGAGGAGGAGGATGTCATGGGCGAGCCAATGAGCGAGGAGGATGTGGAGGGAGAGCCCATGGTGGACGACGACGTCGAAGGGGAACCGATGGAGGAGGATGCGCGCGAGCCAGTGGAGGACCAGCCAGGCCCGGCAAAGTCGAGCAAGGTGGGAGGAGTGGCAGAAGATGCGGAAACCGGCGAGACACGCACGATCGGACGGCTGCAGCTACAAACCACGGCGAAGGCTCAGACCAGGAAACGGATGAGAGCGGTGGATATGTTCGCCGACTCTGGGGACTCGGATTAGGGCAAGTAGCCGCGCGTGGCGGAAGCATGGCGTTGCCCCTCAAAGGAGGCCAAAGGGGCACCAGGGGGGGGTTGATTGATAATCTTGCTCAACTAGTAAAGACTCGGGGCATCTGAAGAATTGGCCAATGCCCAGAGTCGCAAATGCAGATGTCTTGACTGGACCAAGGACCGGACAGGGTACATGTGGAGGGCTGTGTCGCCGAGTGCCGCTCAGGAAGGCGCAGCATGACAATGCACGAGGTGATGGGCAAATCTTTGCACTTGTATGTAACGAAGGGGATATGATGGCATTAGCCACAAGTTGAGCCAGGGGTGGCTGACCTGGACACGGGAGTTTGTCGGGATGAGTTTTGGCGCAGCGGCGCGGATGATATCTTCTTTGGAGGTCGGTTATGTCTCTTGTCTGGCAGGACGCTGCATCAATCGATAAGAGTTGCGACTAGGGTTGGGGAGGGGGATCTAGGAAAGAAGAAGAATGAAGAAAAGAAACAAAAGAGAAACCCAAATTTCTGGTTCACGACCAATACGCAGCGAGTTTACATTCGATGAGAGTCGGCACAAAATGGCCAATGTTACAGTACATCAGAGGGTGCCCACCTTTCCACGGGCCTCTCTCTCTCTCTCTGTTCCTGCACAGCCAGGGATACGCATTCTTCGTCAAGTGTAGTGTAATCGAAAGTGGTCTTGGGTTTTTTTGGGAAGAGGGGGGCGTGTGGTGGTGGTGGCGGTGGTGGTGGTGGTAACTCTCGTTCGACAACCGTCTCGTTGAATTTTGGGTGCGCGGACCTGGCCAATCAAAACTTGCTCACTTCCCTTGCCTATCGAGCCTCTGGCGGTGGAGTTCTACTTGCTCGCTCCCACCCTCCTCCTCCATCCACGCGCGCGTGTGTGTGTGTGTGTGTTATGCCCAACTCTTCTCGCCTGGTTTGTTTTTCCTCCAGTGTTTTGGTGGTCCACTTCTTCACCGGCACGGCCACACTCGGCTTTCCTGATGCAGGTGGAGGAGGATGTGAAGCTGGCACGATATTCATAGGTCATGTAGTCGGTATCTGCACTGCACTTCACGCAACGGACCTGGGAATGAAAACATGAAAAGGACGAAAGGATGGCACCGGCAAGATGAGTTCGGATTGTCTAGGGTGATTTCGGGGGCCCCAGAAAAGCGCCGTCAACTCTTCTGGTGATACGTCGGCTCGCTCGCTTCGGCCTCGAGGTCGAGGGGGGGTGGGAGGTTGTCGACTACGGAACCGATACCGACCGCGGTGGCAAACAGAACCGGTCTCCTCTTTATTGTGTGCTATCTAAAACACTTTGTTCGTGCAGGTGTGATGTTGCAGGGAGTCGCAGAGTTGGACCCTGGAGACTGGAGTGAACTCGGACGCCGTTCGTCCCAGGTGGAGCTCTCGACGCATGTCAAGATGCATACGGATACCAGGCACAAAGAAGCAATACTGCCGAAAGATGCCTACCTGCGCTTTCGAGTGTCACACCCGCTCGATAAACACGGCGCGCTGGATGACTGACAGTCGAGAGAGAGAGAGAGACCGAGAGGGGGGCGGCTGGGTCCGGGTGCCATTGGTCCCCCCAGGAGGCCGGGAGCCTGTCGGACGCTACCCGCTTGTCTCCCTACCCTCGCACCACATCAGCTCGCCGTCGCGATGGGCCCGGTTTGGGGGTTCAGTTCATTGGTATGCATGTTGGTTCGTGGAAAGTAACTGGCGATCGGGCGCCTTTCACGTTCTTCTTCTTTTCTTGCCCCTCATATCCCGCCTACCTACCGGATCGACCCCTGGGCGAGAACCATCCACGGCGGGTGTACGACATAGCACCTTGGCGGCGACCGATGAGGTCGCATCGGCTGATGTTCTAAAGGACCCTGCCCTGGGGATTATCTAGCCCTTGCCCGCAGCAGCCCCCGAGCGAACAAGCACCATAGATGGTACCGCAAGGTTGGTCAGAGGATGGATGGCCCCCTCCCTTCCCTCCCCGTCTGAGAAGCTGACCCGAGGAGGAGGGGAGAGTGGGGACCATCTCATATTCAACTCGTGTGCGACGAGGCAGGTAGGTAATTACAGCACGACAGGCCTAACAGAAGGCCAGGATCCGGTAGAGGTGCAATGAGACAGAGGCGCAAGAAAAGCGAGACAGAAGCAGAGGCAGAGAGAGACATGGGCAGACGCAGTCCGCGGCAAGGCAAGGCAAGGCAAGGCAAGGCAAGGCAAGGCAAGGCAATCATGGCATCTGCAAGCTGAGGTGTAGTGTAGATACAGTCAGTAGACGCTTCTTCGCCGCTGCTGCATGGCGCCAGCATGTACTACTACAGTAACAAACCCCCGCACGTGGAGCTGTTTCGATGCGCTACGGGGATCCTTTGGAGAGGGGCATCCATCATCCATCGTCCGTCCTCGTCACCTCTTCCACACCCCCCCGTGCCATGCCATGTGTACCATCCTTCGTTCATTATCCCCCGCAGGCCGCTACTGGGTGCTCACTGGGCGTTCGCTGGGCGCTGAATACGGAGTACTGCGTCCTCTCTTTGTCCAAGTATTTTGCCGCGCTGGTTTTTTTCCTTCCTTAGCACTGTCGAGCCGGGGCCTGGGCTAAAGCGCATAACCACCCACTAAGTGGCACACCAGCATCACATCAGCAGCCACTACCCAGAGAGGCATGAGAGATTTGGTATGTGACTAGGGAAGTAATGAACGAACGAACGAACGAACGAATGCGTAGTGTTTGAAGCACATGGGGCCGGCCGCCCTTTGTGGACGTTCGTTTCTGCATCCTCCACCGCGTGTTTCCTCCACTTCTTCCCAGATTTGCCATATAGGTACCCTGGGTATGCTGTATACAGTACAGTACTTGTTGTACTCGACTTGGACTCGCCTACTCCCACATACACACACACACACACACACACACACACAACACTTTCTCTCTCTCTCTCTCACTCACTCACTCACTCACACACATACTCTCCCTCTCACCCACTTAATCAACTGTCGACGCACACCGGTTGGACTGCCTATAGCTTCCAGGCTCAGCTTAGGTGCTTGGCCTTTGCCTACCTGAGTGGTTGGTTGACACGAACCCTGCGCATGAGCGCCGAGGTGTCCCTGTCCCGTCCTTTGCTCCCGCCATCCATCCCCTCCCTCCTTGTCTCTCTCCCCCTCTCTCATCAACAATCAACAATCAATTCTGCTGTTGCCTACTGCCGCTGCCTGAGTCGTACCTCTACACGCCCCGACTCGACTCGCTCTATCCACCCGGGTTTCCATCCTTCACCTTGACATTACCTACCTTGCAGCCCTCTCTCCACTCCAATTCTTCGAAACGCCGCTCGTCTGTCGCCAATCTCTAGCCTTCTCATCCCGCATTTGCCTCCGAGATTCCCTTTCGGTTCTCCTTCGCCCGCTTACCGTTGCTTTCAACTCACACTGAACCCGTTCACCGACCGCACGCCACCGTACGCCGCCGAATACCTAGCTAGGTGCACGGAAAAAACACACAGCCAGGCAGCCTCCGATACAGACACACGACGCCGACGAACCGGACAAAGACAGGCCGACGACAGGTGTACCCCTAGAACTGGCGCCCGCCTCCATGTTTCACCTCGCGGCTCGCTCCAAGGGTCCAAGGTCTTTTGGAGTTGTAGTCAGCGCAAAAACTCACCGCACCTCATATTTTCTCCAAGCCTCGCTCTTCGCTCGCTCGCTCGCTCTCTCTCGAATCTCGGACCTCGATACTCGATAGTCGCAAAAAAAAAAAAAAAAAAAAAGGAAAAAAAAACCCCCCCCTCTCCCTCATCTGCCGTCGCAACCTTGAGGGCCCGCCTCAACCACACAGCTCATCATGCCGCTCATCAACGGCCAGAAAATGGCCTGGTAAGTCGTGCATTTTACTCTCCTGTCGCGATCCCATCTCGCTCTCGCCTGTGCCCTCTGTGGCATGAAGCCCCTCTCTCCTATCCTCTCACGCGAGCCAGAGCCATGCGCCTGTCATGACTCCTTATTCCTGTCGAACCCCGCATTGCGTTGGACCCTGAAGCTGACCCTTTCCACCTTTCGCCGCTCAGCGAGCCATGTATTCGTGGTCATCGTTCCACGAAATGCACCCACGCGAATGAGCGCTTGATGGTCCCCGTGCGAAAGCCCGGCCGACCGCTGAGCACATGCCCGCACCCGCCCTCCCGCGGCTGCGGCTGTGGCAGCGTCACGGCCGCCATCCCGAAGAAGCAGAAGTGCGGCTGCGGGTCGAGTAGCGGAACACCCACCACCGACTCGTCGTCGAGCGTTACTAAGGCAGAGTCACCCGCGAGCGATGCCCCGCCATTGTCCCCGACCAAGGCCCCGGCCTCCTTTCGAATCCAGAAGATGGCAGCCAAGTCTGGCAGTCGCAAACAGTCGTTCGACCCCGCCAACTTCGAGAGGATGGATGCTTCCAACATCAACATCCTGCCGCCCTTGGACATGCCGCAGCCGAGCCACATATCCCACGCAAACATCGCGATGCCCGCCATACCCGTACAGAGACCCGGCATGGAGTACGGCACGATGCCGATCATGGGTGGCGTCAACGGCGGCTTTCATCACCAGCCCATCATGTACCCCATGTTTCCACAGCCCATGCCCACCCCCGTGTTCCCGAATGGCGCCGCCATGCCGATGCCCCATACGAACGGCGCAACCTCGACAACGGGCACGCCGGCGCCGGCGTCGATTCCCGCCCCAGTGACCGCCACGAACGGGGGGTCCTGCTGTTCTGGCAAGGCTAACGGAGCTGTGAAGCCCGCGCCACCACCGCTGTCACTGACAAGCGTCAGCACAGGGGGCTCGTGCTGTTCAAGACCGGGCAAGGCCGAAAGAAGCTCTACACAACCTTCCAGTGTCAGCTCGAGTCCAAAGACGCAGCCGAAACCGAACATGGGTAGTTGCTGCTCCAGCAAGGCGCCTACAGTTAACACCGACTTGGCGACGAACGGCGGTGGCCATTACATGTCCAACGGCCATGCGTCGCCTTCGAGCGCGGTGGCCATGTCGCCTTTCCAAACACCGATGGCCATGTCACAGGGAATATATCACTCCTACTTTCAACCGACCATCTTCACTTACCCGCCGCAATACGGTTCTTTCATGTCGCCCCTGCAGCCGGAGCAGTGGAAGCAGGCGATGGAGGCCCTGCACTACGGCCAGCCGATTCCGCAACCCGCAATGTATAGCACGCCGCCGAACCCCATCTTCACACCGGAGGGCACGACAACGACGGGACCCGAACCGACGTCGCATACGTGCGGTTGCGGCGACGGATGCCAGTGCGTGGGCTGCGCCGCACATCCTTACAACGACGCGACACAGGACTACGTGCGGTCCGCGTACTTGAGCATGCACGAAGACTCGTATGGGGCGGCGAACGGGACGAACGGCACAAATGGGCACTCGGAGCATACGGTAGCCAACGGAGCAGGAGCCCACGGGGCCGAGTCTCACGCGAATGGAGACGGCGGCGGCTCTCCGCCCGCGCCGCAGACGCCTTCGGATGCAGCATCTGGGCTGAGCGAAGAGCAGGCGCTATCGGCTAGCGACTTCTTCTTCGTCACGTATCCGTTCAGCGGAGACGGATGCGCCGGCGAGACCTTGTCGTGCCCCTGCGGCGACGACTGTCAGTGCCTCGGCTGCTCGATACACAACAACTCACCGATCCCCGAGTCACAGCGCGGCGTTTGACTGTGACGGACGGCTGGAGTCAGAGAGCACGACTCGGTTGGATGTGAAGTGTTTTAAGACCACAAACATGGCTTGATGACAATGGATGAATGAGAATTATGTCTGGGAAGGGGAAGGTCGGCATCGGTCTGCCAAGTCATGGCTTGCATCTGCGGTGTTTTTTTTCTTCTTCTCTTCTTTTCTCTAAAGACGATACCCTACACACTGGCTCTGTCGCAGTACTCGTAGATATTATTTTGACGGTCCCTGGAAGACCGAAACCCAGGCCTTTGCATAGCCCCTTTTACTGCGTGCGCCGCGCCTTTGCACATCAAGAAGCACTGTGCTGAATCCTCTCTAAACGTGTACATCTTGGGTCGCGATCCCACGCCCGAACCCCAATGCTGTGCCTGATAACAACCACCGGGGTCGGATGAGTCATCTCGGGCCGGTCGTCGAAAGAGATGAGGGGAACTCGGCATGTATGGCCGAGGGTGTGGTACTCTCCGGGGCCGAATTTGGGGTAAGACCCCACCCTACAACTCGGACCACCCCCCAAGTCGGACCATACAAAAAAATCGTCATTTTAGCCCAATGGTCACCATTTGTTAATTATATAGATTAACCTATACAAATGCCAAACTATCTATATTACAAAGAGGGATTTACCTCTGCTCTTTCTTTTGCTGCCTTTGCCTCTGCTATTGCTTTTTTTGCCTTAGCTAGTGCCTTTGCTGCCTTAATTACTGCCTTCTTAGCCTCCTCTTTAGCTTACTCCTTAGCTGCCTTTTCTTTTGCTATAATAATACTCTTTATAGTAGTAAAGCAAGTATTTAGATTAATAGTAACCTTGCCCTTTTTATACTTCTTTATATAGTCTAGCTAGGCCTTAAGTGACTATATCCTTTTACTATTCTTTACTAGTGTAGTGTTTATATTATTAAGCTACTTTTCTACCTTTGTAAAGAGTAGTCTCTAAGTATTATAATCTTATTTATTATCCTCCCCTTAAGGATCCTATAGACTCTAATACCTCCTTAAGTCTCTTAACCTTTAAGGAGTTTTAATAGTAAACTATTAGGGTGTACTAGGCTTAGTAGAGAAGCTAGGATCCTATATTAGAGCCTTTAGGTTATTAGTATTATTATCTAGGTTAATAAATTTACTTATAAGAGGCTAAGCTATATTTATAGGCTATAACCTTGTTGCTAACTAGCCTACTTAGATATTCTTCTTTATAAAGGCCTCTCTTAATACTTTAAAATAATAGTAAAGAAAGTTCTACTTCCTAATTAAAGTACTACTTAGGTCTATAAATACCTCTAAGACTTCTTTTTAATAGGCTTACTTTAAGAGAGAAAAAACTAAAACATTAAGAGGTTAAGTAATATAGCTAGTATAAGGTAGTAAGTAAAGTAGGTAAATATCCTACTAAAAGTATTCCTATATAAAGTTATTAAATATATAACTCCTATGCCTATCTATAATAAGAAAAGTCTTAGAATTAAGTTTCTTTACCTCTAGTATTATAGCTAGGATAAAGATAGTCTTAAGCTAGTTAAGGCCTATCTTATTTAAAGTCTAGCTATTCTTTAATAATATAAACTACTATTAAGCAAAGGATTTAAGTTTAGGAGGAAACTACTGTTATTATACTAAAGCTTTCTTAAAGATAACTAGAGGAGGTAATCTTTTATTATCTATAAAGATATACTTAAGAATACTTGTCTAAGTGTAGGCTTTAGAGACTTAGATATATATAGATTACTTACTAGACTTCCCTAGTACTAAAGACTATTAAGCCTCCCCTTTAGTAATCCTAGTCTTGTCTATATTCTATTATAGATATTATAAGATATCCTTAATAATAGGGAGTATAAGTAAGCAAAAAAGCTCCTTAATCCTCTCTTTAGTAATATACTTAATCCTCTTAGAGCTAATCTTCTTTACCCTTAGGGTCTTTATAGCTAGATTTTTTTACAAGAATCCTTTTAGCTACTTTCTGCCTAATAGCTATAAATTATTGCTAGCTCTAAGGACTCTCTAGGCTATCTCCTTAACCTATAAATAACTAGGTGTAAAGCTAAAGGCCTTCTAGGATAAAGCCTAGTTAATAAGGCGCTTTTCTTGTATTTAACTAAGCTATTAATAGTTAGCTTTAGCCTCTTTAATTAATATAGCACCTTAAAGGTAACAGTAGAGTGTTATATATAGGATGCCTTAGCGCCTAGCTGCTTTACGATAGCTACTACTAGCAAGGACTTTATTAATTGCCCTTTTAAGTAACTTAGGGGTATAGTTTAGCATTCTAAAGCATTTGGTATTTTTAAAAGAATTAATTTGATTTTTTGTTGCTGGGATATTTTGGTTTGTAAAAGGTGGTTAATTACTAGAAGCACAAAAAAGGGGGAAAATAGTCAATGTGAACACGTGGTCCGACTTGGGGGGTGGTCCGAGTTGTAGGGTGGGGTCTTACCCACGGCTCCGCGGGGCACCGACCTGAAGATCCAGTCCCCAACTTCCCTCCCCCCCCCCCCCCTGCTTGTTTTGGCGCTTGAGCGACAGGCGGCAGTGGCACGAGCCTTTTCCTTTGAACAACGTCAGCAACGACACAGCCAAGCACTCGGGATATTGCAGTTTCTCAACCAGCCCTCTTCTACCTTTCGTCATCGTTTGCGATTAATCGTCTTGGTTTTTCTTCGTCGCAATAAGGAACACTCGGCCAGCTCCGGCAGATCGACTCAACCGTCGTAGCAGAATTCTCGCTGCTGAAACCGTGGTCAGACAGGACGGACAAACTCCAACGTCAGGCATCCCCACCACCATTCTTATCCGGTGAGGCATACCAATCTCGCAGAGGGGGGTCCTTGTCAGGACTTTTAAAGATCTGACGTGCGATTTGCCTGTCATCGTCAAGGGAAAAAAGCTTGATTGCAGCCTTGTCGGGTAGACTCGCCGGCAATCTTCATTCGAGGGCAAGGGAGGATCATCATTCTTTCAGGTCTGACGAGGTTTGTCTCATCTTTGTAAAATCGGGAAAAAGTTTGAGAAGCGTTCGAGACTAGACGCCCAGCCCATCATGCCTATGGACGAGCGCTCGGGTGAGCGGAGGAACGCGGAACGGCAACACAGGCGGACGCGCTCTCGGTCCGTAACCCGTACCCGATCGCGGTCGCCCAGACGGCATCGGGATGAGGCTAGGCGGAGGTCTCCAATCGGTGACGGCGATGGCGGCTCGCATCGGGAGCGGAGGCGGTCTCCACGCAGCGAGGACCGTGACCGGGAGTCCAGACATCATCGCCGGCATCACCACCACCACCACCACCACCACCGCCACCGGGGCGACAAAGACAAGGACCGCAGCAACAAGACCGCCGCCGCCGCCGCCGTTGAGCCTCTGCCTTACGAAGCCCGGCAGCTGTCCAAGTCGGAGCTCGGGGTCTTCCGGCCGCTACTGGCGTATTACCTCGACCTTCAAAAGCAGAAGGACATCCGTGACATGGACGAGCGGGAGGTCCGGGGCCGGTGGAAGAGTTTCGTGGGGAAATGGAATCGCGGGGAGCTGAGCCAGGGGTGGTACGACCCCGAGATGTTTGTGGCGGCCAAGGAGAGAGCCATTGAGGAGGGCATCGATGGGCCCAGGGAGGAGGTGCGGCGCGACGATGTTGAGGTGGTGAAAGAGGAGAGGCGTGGTGGCGGGTGGGGCGAGGGAGATGGAGATGGAGAGGACAACGACAACGACGACGACGACGATGATCTTGGGCCAAGGCTCCCACCCACCGCCCGGGAAGGAGGCCAACGCGCAGGCCCCGGGATCCCGAGCATGGCGGACCTGTCCCTCCACCGCGAGACGCTGGCCGAGGAGGCGCAGCGGGAGAGGGAGGCGCGGGCGGCTGACCTGCGGCAGCAGCGCAAGGACGACCGGAAGCTACAGCGCGAGAGGCTGGACGACGTGGCGCCGCGGGCGGAGGCCGGGACGCGCGAGAGGCAGCTGGAGAAGCGGGCGCTGGTGAACGACAAGATGAAGGAGTTCCGGGACAAGGGCGGGGACGGCGGCGTGCCGGAGGTCGGGGAGCAGGAGCTCATGGGGGGCGGGGACTCGTTGCAGGAGTTCAAGGCGATGAAGGCGCGGGAGGAGAGGAAGAAGACGGAGAGGGAGCTGCGGCGGGAGGAGATTGCGAGGGCGCGGGAGGCGGAGCGGGAGGCGCGGGTGAGGGAGTACCGGGAGCGGGAGGAGGGGGTCATGAAGGGGCTGCGGGAGCTGGCGAAGCAGAGGTTCGGGTGAGGGGGGGGGGCATAGACGGCTGTTACTGCCATACTCTATACCTTGGAATTTTCCCAAAGGGGTCTTATGAGATATTCCATAAGGTTAGTTAATAAACAAATGCGACCATATTCTTTAGAGTGAGGAACACTAAGAAGAGATAGCGAGGTACCGTAATAAGTGATGATATATCGAGAATACAGATATGGGAAGCTGCCAGACGTCCGAGCAGACACAAACAAGAAGATGGGGTTTAGAAAGAAACATCCAAAGCAACCAAGCTGATGACAAAGAATCACACTCGGCTTCGTTCATTTCCATTTGATCATCTCAAGTCGCGCCACCTGTTGGTTTGTTTGTAATTGGAAACGTGTAGATAGCCCGACGAAAGCCGCACTGTACTACACGTGTGTTTGAACTACGTACGATACAGTGTCGACCGACAAAACCGACTCTGCACTGTACCCACAACTTCACAGCATCGCAGAAGAAGAAAAAAAGAAAAGGAAAAAAAAAAAAACCCGGTAGCAAAAAAATTGCGACTCATCCTCTCTCTCTCTCACCCCGCACCCGTTCAGGTAAGTCGGCTCCTCTCAAGATCGGAACTCTCAACGGCCTCTGAAAAACTACTACAGAACTCTTTTAACCCCGGAAGGACTTGTAACAAAAAAAAAAAAAATTTCACCTAAAAAGAGGCCTCAGTTGTCGGGGAGGTGTTCTCACTCTTGCTTCAGAACCGACCCCGCCATTGCATCTGCCCCTCCTCACCAACGTCCCCAAGTCGTCCACCTCGGAACAAGTTTCCCACAAGCAATGAGCCCCGTCAGCGACGTCGCCGACGGCGACACGGGGGACCTCTTCGCCGACCCGGAGGACTACTACCCGCCCACGCCGCCGCCCACGACGCAAACCCACACGCTGTCGTCGGGCCGCGTGCTCACGCTCCACCTCGTGGGCTACTCGCCGACCGAGGCGCACCACCTCTGGAACGGCAGCCGCGTCGTCTCGGACTACTTCGAAGCGGACCCGAGCCGCGTCCGAGGCCGGACGGTGCTCGAGCTCGGCGCCGGCGCCGGCCTGCCGTCGCTGACGGCGGGCATCCTGGGGGCGAGGCGCGTCGTGGTGTCGGACTTCCCCGACGCCGACATCGTGCAGACGATGCAGAAGAACGTCGACGAGGCGGGCGACCTGGAGGGCGTCGTCGTGCCGAGGGGGTACGTCTGGGGCGCCGACGTGGCGCCGCTGCTGGAGGTCCTCGCCGAACCGGAGCCGGAGCCGGAGCCGGAACCGGAGCCGGCGGGTGGTGGCGAGCAGACGACGACGACGACGACGACGGTAAGGGCGACGGGGAGGAGGAGGAGGAGGTTCGACGTGCTGGTGCTGGCGGACCTGCTGTTCCGGCACTCGGAGCACGGCAAGCTCGTCGACACGATCTGGAACGCGCTGGCGCGGGAGAGGGGCGCCGTGGCGTACGTCTTCTTCACGTCGTACCGGCCGTGGCTGCGGCACAAGGACCTCGCCTTCTTCGACGTGGCGCGGGAGAGGGGGTTCCTGGTGGAGCAGGTGCTGGAGAGGAAGATGGAGAAGCCGCTGTTCGAGGGGGACCCGGGCGACGTCGAGGTGCAGAAGACGGTGAGCGGCTTCGAGGTGCGGTGGCCGGAGGAGCTGCTGGAGGGCTGAGAGGTGTTCGGGAGAAAGGGAGGGGGAGGGGGAGGGTTGCGATCATGCTTGGAGGGGGTCAGACTTGAGAGGCTCCTTTCTTTTCTTCTTCTTCTTTTTTTCTAAATCGAGTTATAAAAAGAGAAAGGGCATGGATAGGTTCATGAGCGTTCGGCATTTGGGAGGGCATCGGTTTGGCATCTAGGACGATGGCACAGCAAGGAAAACAGCGCAAGGCGGGCGGTGGATGGAGGGGGGCCTCGTAGCCGAGGATAACACACCTCCTGGGCTGGGATGCGGTTTATTCAGGCGACGGGATCCTGTCACGCAAGGGACTGGCGGCGGAGGGTGGGAAATAGACTACTAGAGAAGGGGGAATATCTGCCATTCACTGGAATACCAGGTGATATCGGGCATTGCCCAGTTATTTTGTTTTGCCTCCCTCCCGGCGACTCGGCGACGCAGTGAGTCCTGTATTTCGCCTCGACGAGTCCACCTTTGCTCTCCGTTTTGTCTTTCTTGGGCATAGCTGGGAAGGACGACGAGCTTATGCTGGAGCCGGCGTAACCTTGGGCACAACAGAAAACCAAGCCCCGAACTTCACTCCTCTACCTGTGAGACCGATTCTTTTCCTGGCTCGTGCCGTGGGCATCGGCCCCGTCCCGTCCAATGGTACCGTTTGTACACTGCATGGCCCCGAGTTCTATAGGAGAGCCGGTCGGTTACTTGGAAGAGATGCCAGATTTTCTTATGATTCGGACGGAAACATTTCTAGCGCCGAGGTCACGAGTCCCGCCTTCTGTGTGGCAAAGATAGGAGAGATGCCCCGTCTTGAAGTGCCGGTCTGCATATAACCAGCCACCAGCCGGCAATGCCAAAGAGCCAAGGAGCTAGTGATTAGGGGCCAGAAACGAATGAGAAATACGGGGAAAGAGTTCCTTATACCAAGCGATGTCACCAGAAAACTGGCCACTTGGATCGAGTCAGATACGTCGAACAAGTTATGTTCGGGCTCAGTGTTTACCCGAACACTACAGCCACAGCTGCAGGAGTCTTCTTTTGCTAAAAAGGGCTACCGATATCAGCAGGTGCCGGGTAGCTCAAACGCTTCCTTGTCCGCCGATGGTTCAACCAGTGACCAACGAGTCGATGGAACCCGCTCCATTCAAGACCCAGTACCATTTGTTGCGACCAGCAGAGATGCTAGCCACCTGATATATAAGTGAAGCAGTGCCGAATTAGGCTATTCCTGGAAGCCCGTCAGCAGACCATGTAGACAATCGCCCGTTACATCGCTCGCATTGCGGTTCCGTAGGCGTCTTGGCATCGGAGGAGTTGTACCGACACGGGAAGCCACCGTTATCGCATCTCAACATTCGCGGCGCGACGCCATGGGCTTCTTCTACCAGCCAACGGCAGCTCCTCCCTGGCGCGGACAGTACGGCAAGGGTACGTATGTTCCGGCAACAGTGGGAAATCTGATGATCCGGTCGAGTGGTTCAGCCAAGACGAACGGCGGTCTTGAGGGTGCTACATGTCCGAACCGTCGGTGGTAGTGTCGCAGTGAGGTTGGACGGGCTGTAATCGTTGGGGAAGAGTTTCTTGTGCTCACGGGGGGTCGGGAAGACGCATGCCGAGTTGAGTAGCGAACGGGAGGGGGATTTGACGCGGGAACCAAACCCGCGTCCGAAGCAGATGTTTTTGTGCGTCGCCAATATAATCATCGGCGGGGAAGAAAGAAGGCGGCCCTTATCTCGTCCTTGCTGCCGTGGAAAACGCCCGAATGTCTTCACATGGAGCATAAGCCGATGGAGAGGCCCCTAGAGCCACAGCAACCCCCACGGACTGCTCGAGGCTGGGGACAAGGAGACGCCCGAAGAGGAGATGGAGATAGCATTCGGAGTGATGACGGATTGGGAATGGGCTGGATGCAACGCCAAAAGGAGCGTGGCCCTGCTTGATGTTGGAGCCGAGGTCAGGTCCCACGTCACTCAAACGGCTTTCTATCTGAACTGGCGTTGACAAGCCTTGGCCATTGGGGGGCTATGGACGTGTGATGGCTGCAGGAGACTTGAGGGGTTGTTTACACAAGGACGTGGGGTGGAGAGAAGACGGCAGCAAGCAGGGATAGGAAGATGGAACGTGCTCTCTGACTACAGACCAGGGAAGGAAACGATGAAAAAGATTAAGGCAAACGCATGAGCGTGTCTTTCCGGCGCACCTTATCGTGGTCATGGATGTTGTGTGTGTGAGTTTGTTTCTGGCCAGAGTGTGAAGTGTGAGCTTGTGAAGTGAAGTAAGTGAAGTGAGGTACATACAGGTAGGTAGGGTACCGGTAGTAGGGTAGGTAGGTACTCCGTACACCTCAGGAGCCGTACCTACCTACCTTGTCTGTGGAATGTGCAAACGGGGAAAATGGAGAAGGAAAATCCGAACCGGGGGAGAGGGGTTGTGTGGAGCACATACTACGTACACCATAGTGGGGCCAGGTTTTTTGTTTTCTTGCTTCAAAATTACCCCACACTTTGCACCTTGGAGGCAGGTGCCTCTCTGAGTGTGAGTACTCCGTACCTACCTAAGGGATCGCTGTTTCCGTTCCCGTTTCCCGCAATTGCTCCTGCCGCAACAGGCTCGGGGCTTTCCTGCATCTTGTCGTCTGGGTCCGACGCGTGCCTGCCTCTGCATCCACGAAGTGCTATCCGCCTGCCGCCTGCCGCCTGCCGCCTTCCAATACAGGGCAGGCTCTCCCCATCTACTCTCGCCCACCATTCATCGTCCACCCACATCACAAACGACAGCAAAACCGGATCCCCCATCCCCCCGTTTGCCCGCTGCGTGTTGCAGCCATCGGGAATTTTCCTGACATTGGCTTGAAGATGGGATGTCACGTCCAAGGGGTCAATGTACCGTGTGGTGTGGTGTGGTGTGGTGTAGGGGCCCAGAAGACTCGACTGCAATTTCCCGCCACCCACAACGCCTTGTTACATGGCTATTGCGTTGAGGGTGGCCATTTGCGGATGAAATGGGGTGGTTGATTGAGAAGGAGAGAGCAGAGCGGCGCGGCACAGTTGTTTCACGACGACGACGACGACGACGAGCGTTGTAACACAAAAGACGAGAGGAAGCGTTGGACGTGTGCACCTGTGCCTCACCCGGCTGCAACTCTTGTGCGCGCTCCATATGAATGCCGAGACCCGACATCAATCTGAACCGGCCAACAAACCTAGGTAGCGAAGTTACGCGCCATGGACGTGTTTGGGCTCTTTGTCATTTATGCAGTGACTGCTGATGGCCTTGCCATTCTGGGGAGGGGGGGTTCCTCGGGGATTTTTGCGTTTGCCCAAACCCCTCCCCTCTCTCTGCGCTTCATCAAGCTCCCAGTCCATTCCAGTGCGAGTCTCGGCCTCCGCATTTGGAGACCAAGGGACGTTGTCAAGGAGGTACAATGATAGTGCCCGCATTTGGAGACGTGGAGTCATGTTAGCTTCTGATTTCCTCCCATGGCAAACTACAAACCGACAAGAAGCGCCAACCACGAGAAGAGGCATACCGAGCTTCGCCTTATTCCGCCCTATCTGACAGCGGCGGCGTTGAAGCTGAAGCTGATATGGGCCTTGTCGTCAGGGACTCATCCATCGGCTCTTGTCGACCCCGACCCCCCGACTCGCTCTTGTGGTTTCTCCAAAAAGGGGACGAGCGCGCGGTTCGTTAGCCGAAGCGGCCATCTCGCCTGGACAAGGGGGGGGGGGGGGGGGGGGTTTCCCTGACACGATTGGCCGTTATAGCAAGGCTGTCATTGGTGCGTCTTTGAGACCTGGACGTTTACGGAGTACTCGTCTTCCCCCCCCGGCGCCCCCGCTGTGCCCTCTGACCCTGGAAGATGGGCGATGGGAGCTTGTCTTGCCGTAATATGGATGCAGAGGGCAGAGTTTTTGGCGTGCGACGGAAGAGCGGAAGTGAGGAGAAAGGAAGAGGCCGAGCAGGGGGGAGCATCATCAAGTGTTTACATAGTATAAATATGGCCAAACCTTGAGAGATGGGATGGAGACTACCTATGTACAAAGTAGGTAGTGCTTACCCTCTACGTGTATGCTATGCTATGCTAAGCTATGCTATGCTAAGCTATGCTATGCTGTGCGGTGCTGTGCGGTGCTGTACTGCGCTGTGTTTTGAGCTTCACGACCCCTTATCGGCATCGGCATCGGCGTCATCGTCATTTTCCATCTCCGAGCCCTTGCCGACGAGGAATGATTTCATGGCCGGTTTCCCATTGGCACCGCGCCGCGAAGCTCCCTCCCCCTCACCACCGTGACCACATGCAACCCTGTTGCGGTGTGTTCAGGCATGTTGAGCAGGGCTGCTCCTGGGAAGATTGGCTCAAGCGTTGGGTGCACGTATACCTGGCTAGACGGTCTGGACAAGGTACTTTCCGCGGGGGACTCCACCGGAAAGGTACCTCACACATGTCAACCCCAAAGTCACCCACCCCCCGTTTCCCAGACAGACAGACAGACAGACTGGACAGACAAAAGAGGAGCAGGACAGAAGAAGCCTCAGTCAGGGCTTGCTTCCAGGCTGTTTTGCCATGCTCCAAAGTGTCTCGTCGGGATGTCGCTCGAGTCCGCCATTAGAAGGCATGTTTATTTTCCTGTTTGGCCGCATTATCTTGCCGTGCCTTGCCTCGCCTCACCTCACCTAGCAGGTGTATGTACGGTATGTACGGATACGGTATGTACGTATGTACGTATGTACGTATGTATATCCAAGGTACTTTGGGTTGTGTGCGTGTCGGGCAGTAGGACGCGTACACGTACCCGTCAGCATAGGTAGGTAGGTAGGTAGGTAGGTAGGTAGGTAGGTAGGTACACTACCCAGAAACGGCTGCTTCTCCAATGCGGAGAGAGAGGAGACAACCCCAGACCCCAGATTCCTTACCTGGATTTCCCCCCATTCAACGGAAGCCAATTCTTTCTCTCCTCATCACTCTCTCCACCTTTTCCCACCCATCACGACCACGACGA